TCTAAAGGACATAAATGGTTACGCTTAACGCAACAACCTCAGCTGTAACTTAGAGCTTCCATATGAAGCACGTTCAGCAATCCTCCTGAAATATTTCTGAAATCTTTTTTAGTCATCGGTGATGAAATCCTTTGCTAGCAAGAACTGATTAGCAATGCATCCAGAGGTCACTCATTCAGTTACTCCCATATTTGATGCGTTCGCCATTCTATCCTCATTAGTTCCGTCACCATAAACAATTGCTCATAAAAGCATTGTACCCATTTTTCTTTGACGTACTGATTTCCACTTACTGAGAATCGAAATTCATCTATCAGGACACAATCACGATTTTGAAATCCCATTTTGTAAAGATCCCATTTCATAGCCGGATTTTTTTCCTTCAAACATTTAGAATGCACTGCCAATTATTAATGTGCTCATTCTTGCTTGATGTAAATGCAGTGCAACAGCAAAAAAAAACCTCATGGTTGATTTTCTACCTCCCTCAGATTACCAGATATGTGAAGCATGGCACTGACGAATAATTCTATCAGACAGTTTAACTCAGAGGTCATGGGTTTTGTCAAGTCTGCCAAAGGAAGTCATATTGATGTAGATTCAATTCTGCCCTCAGGTTAAAGACTGATGGAACGACTTCCGAACTTAACCAAATGAAGCGGACCAGGAACAATATCATTCTTCCCCTGTCACAGGCACAAAAATACAAAGTTGTTGAATCTTTTACCATTTACAAATGTAGATGTGGGCAGAATGAATAGCACCAATCCTCATTTTGGTTAGAGGTCCATCCTAACAAATGTCAGTCACCAATAAAGACGGAATTAAAAAGTTTGTTCTTATCCCCCTTTTGTGCCTGCGACAGCTTAAACAGGATGTCCCTGTACGCTCGAGTTAGCATGTGTTTGCGCCCACATTTAAGTTCTAAAATGAGATGTGGGGAGGCGCAGAGGAAGGGGACGTGTCAACTGTCAAGCGGTCATCAGGTTATGTAAATGCTGAACAAAGGCAGGAACACAGTGAGGACACACCGCGCTCAGGGAGCTGGAAAAAAAAATATGCGTCACTGTTCAAAATCGATTCCCATCGATCCTCTGCAGTGGCATGATCTTCCAATACCCACCCAGAGTCAAAGGTACACCCCTCCCTCACACTCTCAAATAAAGACAATGCACCAAACACACATGAAAAAAACATACATACATCTTTATTTTACAAGAAGGGCACGTTTTTTTTTGTTTGTTTAGTTTAGTTTAGTTTTTTTGTACAAACTGTAAACTAAATTATTCTGGAGGTTATAATCTTTGACATCACTTTCATGGATGAACACCAGAAACATGTATAGAAACGAATATATAAACAGTCAGTGACTGTTGCATCTCACTGTAAATTTGAACCCCACACTGGAGAAAAAACATACAGCATGTAAGTCTGCTACACACATTAAGGATTCTGAAAGATAAAAAGCACTTGTGTTCATCACAACTACATTTTTGAACATCATTATACAATACTCTATCCCTGCACTCCCTCACCCTTCATACTGCCATTGACTTTTTTTTTTTTTTTTAATTCTTATAAACACAAGAATCTCTGTCACTGAATTTAGGTTGAGGTAGGGACTTTGTCGTTTTCTTCGGACGGTTGAATGAGGTGAAACGCCATCGTTAAAACGTCTCCGTTGCTCAGACCCACATCTGCCGGGCCCGGGGATTCTGCACTGTCAGGTTTGCTTAAGTTGCCGTACGTGGCGTTACTACACTGATTGAGAGACCATGTACCGCCAACACGGCTTCCCAAAGGAACTTGTAGGGCAAGCCTAGAGGAAATGCTCCACATCCAAACAAACATTTTGCTTCTGGGAGTTTCGCCTGACATCACCCTTTTTTTTTTCTCCAAAATCAAAGCAGTGGCAGCTGCAGAGATGACTCACCGAGTTGACAAGGTGAAGACTCAGGGAGCTGGAGGGGGAGAGGGGGGGTTTACACTGAGCCATAATAGAAGAGAAGATCATTTCAGCTCTATAAATACATAAAAACTGGATGTTTGGAAAAACATCTCGTAAACCTGTGAGTGCCAGCGCTGTCACAATAAAATGACAGATTAATCTCAGCGTCGTTAAGAGTTCCCATTCTAGCCCCGGATTTTGGCCGGTAAAGTCACAGCGTATGCTACATTACAGCCACATTCAGCCAGAAATAAGAATTTTGGCAAAAAACACTTACAATACAGTAATAATACAATGGCCAAGTGGTGCTTTGACAGACTACAGAAAGAAAGAAAGAAAAAAAAGCAGTGGGCTCTGTCGGTTTAATCTGAAATTCAGTCTGCACTAACATTGGAAATGCTCATCAGGTCGACAGAAGCAGCCAAGAAAGAAGAGGAAGAGACAGAGGAGGAAGGAGGTGTGGGGGGGGGGGGGGGTGAGTGGAGGGGTAATCCTCCCCGAGGCATCTTTCTTTCATATCCGATCCCGACAAATTATACACACTTCAGGTTTTATCGCATGTTTGAGCTGGCATGTGTTTGAAAATAATTACGGAGTAAATTTAGAGGAACTGGTGCAGAGTGAGACGGGAGGGTCACTGAGCTGATATGGCTGATCATTTGCAAAAAGGCATGGGATGGAAAAAGTGGGAAGTTACAGCGTGTGGCACTTGATATAGCTTGAGCACTTGTAACACGAAAACAAATCCTAACCAAAGGGTGTGCTAATCCAAATTGCACTTTACAAAAAAATCAAACTCCGAGCTTATGGAGCAGCAAGTGGGAGGCCGGAGAGCGGCTGAGAGGACAATGAGGTGCTTTAGTGACACAAGCCTGGCCCCATATTGAGCTAAAAGCTTTCCCCTGCTTTGCTGCCATCGAGATAGCATTGGATTTTCCAGTGCAGGAAAATCAAATGCTTCATTCAAGACCAATGGCTTTCTATTGGCAGGGGCTCCTCCTCTCTCTGATTTGCAGCGGTTTCACTCGTTCGTAGACAAAAACAGCATCCGGGGAATAGACTGAGTAATCTTACCCGAGTAACACAAAACAATCAGATTGAGGTTCGTGAATAGCTTTAGACTTTTGAGCTAATTATTTTAGATTTAGATATTTTTTTATGCGACGTGCATTGCATGTCCATTTAAATCGACATGAATTAAACCAAAAATGTTTTCTCTTCCCGTCCTAACAATCTACCATCTCTTAAATATTGTTAAACGATTACCCTTATTTAGATTCTAGAACAGCCACTATTATGTAATACTTGAATGAAAAAGTACCATGATTTATCCTTTATGAATGAGAAGAACAATTTCAAAGAGGAAATTGTTCTCTTTGTGTGCCAGTATGACCCCTCCGCTGACTTTTGGCTAATTTCTAATGTCATTCAGGCTGAAATGAAGAGAGCCACATCACTGGCTCTGACAGTCTAGAGACAAAAAATGCTTAAAATTGTATTTTAACTGTAAATATTGGGTAGAATCAGCAGCCCCACATCAAGAGACTTTCCACATAAGAGCAGGATTCCTTTTTCCAATCCAACCTCTTTTCTTATTATTTTCAAACGGCAGCTGTGCAAAGACACAAAACATGTCCGATACCTTGGGGGTAATCCTCATCATGGTGTCTCGTCTGTGACTCCACCTCTGCAAACAGAAGGACTGTCACACCGCATGCTCCACATCGCCACTACAGCACAGTATGGCTCCCAGCGTGAGCAATTTACAAAATCGGATATCTGCAAGTTTGCAAAAGGTCACAAAGTGTCATTTGCATTCCGGCTGAGTGAACCTGCTACTCTGCCTCCTCTGTACAATTGCAGGAGTTTTTCCGTTTTTTTCCGATTGGCTCTCCTTATCTTTTTTACTTTGGAGTTATTAGCTGTTGCCAAGGACAGAGGCATCAGCGCTTCTTTAAGTGAGCAGGAGGAAATTCTTAAAATGGACGGCTGCCAACAGAGATGGTGTGAAGGGTGCAGACAGAAAGACAAACAATGAAGGGGGAGAGTGTAGGCAATGAAACAGAAGGGGGATTTTCAGACCAAGAAAAGGAGAACAGGAAAAAAAAAGAGAGGAACCGAGACCAAGGAGTTATGCTGCAGAGCTCGGGGGATACAAAGCTAATAGAAAATGAGGGAGCAAGGAGAAAAAATGGAGGAAAGTTCAGGTGAGACAGCCTGTTCAGTCCCAGTTCTGGGACAATTGATCAGAAACACGATACAGGGGACAGAGAGAAGATAATAGCAATGCTTTTCTCTATTTATCTCTCTTTCTGTCTCCTGAGTGTGTCAGTTTGTGTTTAAAAGTGGAGCGCATTTATACGCAAACAGAATCAAACCCCAATTAAACAGCCTACTTTTTTTAGCTTAATTTGGAGCCATCTTCCATCAACATTTGATGTTTCTTCAGATAGAAAAAAAAAATGACCACTGCAGTACAGGTGTTTCCATTTTGCCGTGAAACAGTCAATGCAATTATAATTAAGAGAAATAACAACAACATATTTTTACTGCACCAATTTACCCACATTGTTCTCTCCTTCAAAGAACACATACATAGCACCTACCTACATGATATTTCACTAGTACTACATATTTTCCACTGTATATACTGCTTTAAAGTCTTTCCAGAGGTGAGTCTGTACTGTACAGTATACACATGCAAATGTATACATCTTTGCAAATGTTCGGAAAAATGTATACATTTGCGCTGGTTTTCTGCTTTAATATACATATTATCAACATTTATCTTCAAATGTATCAATTTCATCAACAAATGCTGACAGTATTTTGCAGATAGTTGTGTCAAGGATAAAGTGCCTTTACTTTAAAACATTCTGAAGATTTTTTTTTTTATCATTTGGATGTTTGAAAGTCTGAATATCCTGTCTCTGGATCCTTATCAGGCTTAATCTCTGAGATGTTTATATCTCAGTTTTATTTTGCTTTTCTCTTGGGTAGGATTTTTTCTCATGCCTCACTGTATGTCAATCCACATTTTGCCAATGTCTTCTCAACACGACACTGTTTTATGTTGCCCATTCTGTGTTATGGGATTGATCTTTTCCAGTGTGACCTCAGTGTCACTGTCTAAATTCCCAGAGATGGCAGGGGAGGGTTTCTCTAGGGTATTGTTTACCATTCCCACCTCAATCTCCCCTCCGCACCCGTCCTTCTTCTCCTCGTCGTGACAGGAGATGCTGTGGGGGATAACGTAGCTGGCTGAATTGTTGCCCTCCTTCGGGATGTGGCTCTTGGGCTGATACTGAAAGTTGGGGTTGGAGGTAGGGGCACCCATGTTGTTGTTAATACTGACGATCTCGATGGCGTTGCTGCCCGGGCAGAGCCGGTGGCAACCCAGAAGGATCGAGAAGGCCTTGCGGAAGTCGGCGTTGAAGGCATAGATGATGGGGTTGAGCGAGGAGTTTGCCCAGCCGAACCACACAAACACATCGAAAGTGGTGGAGCTGACGCAGGGGAAGTCCTCGGAGTCATCGGCTAGGTTCGGTTCACAGAATGGAACCATGCAGTTTAGGATGAAGAAGGGCAACCAACAGCACACAAACACACCCATGATGACAGAGAGCGTCTTTAAGACTTTGGTTTCTCGTTTGAAAGACATTTTAAATGAGCTCTCGCTCTCGATGGTGGAACTATTCCCCATGCTGCTGTGGCGGTTTTTGGCACTCTCCGCGGCCCGCTCCAGCGCGGATATTCTCCGAATCTGTTTCTGGGCGATGCGGTAAATCCGGGTGTAGGTCACGATCATTATTGCCACTGGGATGTAGAAGCTGATGAGGGAGGAAGAGATGGCGTAGGTCCTGTTGAGGCTGGAGTCGCAGTTGTCGGGGGGAAGATCTCCGGGATACGTCCCGTTTAGCTCGGCATAGCTGGTAGTCTGAGCTTTGTGCCAGTTCAACTGCACCGGGATGAAGGAGATGAGAACGGACAGGGTCCATGCGACACTGATCATCAGGCACGCCACCTTGGGGGTCATCTTGCGTTCGTAGCGGAAGGGGCTCGAAATGGCCCAGTAGCGGTCGACGCTAATCACACACAGGTTCAAGATGGAAGCGGTGGAACACATAATATCGAAAGCCACCCAGACGTTGCAGAAGGCCCCGAAAGGCCAGAAGCCCACGATCTCCGTGGCCGCCTTCCACGGCATGACCAAGATGGCCACCAGGAGGTCGGAGATGGCCAGCGAGATGACGAAAAAGTTGGTGACCTTCGACCTCAGGTGCCGGAACTTGGTGACGGCGGCGCACACCAGGGTGTTGCCGAGCAGCGTGGTGAAGATGAGCAGGGAGAGGAAGCACCCCGTCAGGACGCGTTTGGACGAGTCCCTGTCCGGCGCGAGCTGCCTGCCATCTCGTACCGTGGAGAAATTCTGATCCATGGTTTATATCGCGGGTAATAACACAGCGAGATAGGGGGTGGGCGAGGGGGGATGTCAGCAGTCACCCCATCACATCCCCAGCCCGCAGCAGCTGTGCCTCTGTAAGAGAGAGAGTTTTAAACGAACAGCGTCGCTCGTGGAGAAAAGAACTGTCTGGGCACCAGCTCTCCCACAGACCGGCTCATCCATAGGCTCCTCGTTGCAACAACCATTTTTCACACAAGGGCTACTATAAATACCTCGAAAGACACTCTTGGGTTATCTCCTTCCAAAATATGCCAGGTCGGTAGATTCCTGCTGCAGCAGCACAGGCAGACGACATTCTAATTGTCCGAGGAAGAAGAATATTCCAGCCACCGTTTGCATGTGTTTTTCCATTCAGCGCCGACTTCATCAAACAGTCTGAGTCCAAGCAAAACGATGCTCTTTAAAAAGGAAAGTTCCATCACTTCCACGTCCCGCTCTCATGGCCAGCAGCAGATGTCAGGTCTTCATCCAAACTTCAACAGCGAAGCTTTAGAATCAACAGAGTTTTGGCCAATCATTAGCCTTATATACCACCTCATCAATAACTCTATTGATGGTTTTCGCGCTGCGTTTATCTGATTTGTTTATTGATCTTCGAGGCGTGTCCCTGGGATTATATTGGTCCCTGTATTGACGCGGATCCACCCCTGATGCTAGGTGTTGTCCTCTGTGCCATTTTTATCATTTCATTTTTGATCGCATGTCGTTAGTCACACTTTCTGACGAGTATCTCCACCTGAGCTCTGAGGAAACGAGTAAGTAGGAAGAAAAAAAAAATCTGGTAGATTCAGAAGTCCTTGCGGTCCGTTTTGAAAGCTGAGGGAAAAATTTATACATCGGATTCATTCAAAGTCCGTAATCCACGTTTTGGCTTTGCTTTGAGTTAGTTTGCGTGCTCGTTTAACGCAGCACAGTCCCCCTTCCAAAAAGAAAAAAAAACTATACTACTTAGATTATATTTGGAAGTCCAGTCCCTTTGTTTACGTCCTTAAAATAGAGGTGCCGTTTATATTTTTCATTCTCTTTTTTTGTTAAGAGAGCGTGCGCATCAGTGTGTGGCTGTGGACCGTTTTAAAAAAAGAAAAAACGCTGATGCGTCTTTGGTTGACTGAAAACGTTCGGATCTCCAACGCAAATTCAACTAAGTGCTAAAACATTCAACCCCAAGTGGATAATTCCCCGACAACACATCCAACTCGTATCTCGATCCCAAGTGTAGGATAAAGAGCTCACCCTCTCCGGGCTCTCCTCCATGGGAATCTGTCACGCTCTCCGTGTAGACCAGGTCCTCGGGTTTTTTCTACCGATTCAGAGCTTTTTTTCTCATATTTTCGGGACTCATCCTTTGTTGTCCAACTATCAGTTAGGTTGTGCTGCAGTGTGACTGCGGTCTGACGGGCGTGAGTGATGAGAATGATCTCTCCAAGAGTGTTTTTTTTACGCGCGCTCCTCTCTCTCTGTGCGGCCGCTGCCTGCTGCCGCTGTGCGCCACGCTCTTTGCCACAACTCATCTATCCAAGGAGACTGGAAGGGTAACGCCATCCTAATTCATCATTTACAACTTAACGTTCGCTTTCAACGGAGTTTAAGCCACATGGTTAATAATTAACCCCGTAAGATCTTGAAGTCCAACTGTTGACATGAAAAAAAAAAAGCCTGCGTAGAGAAACGATAAAAAGGGAGGGAAGCATTTTTTTAATTACATTTTTGTTATGAATTTAAGTCTAAAAACGAAAAGAAACTGTAATCAATAAGTTAATGATCTTCCCATCTTCCCCCCAAACCTTAAACACTCCATATAGGGTATCATAACATCTAACTACAGAAACGCCACTCCTTTGTTTATTCCATGCCACTTAAATCGTGTATCTTTCTCATAAAGATGCAGGATTAAAAAGATTGACATAATATGAAAGCGCAATCGGTCCTGGGTTGAACTTGTTGCCAGCAGGCACAAAAGGCGCAATGTGGCCACCTGCTGGAAGTAAGATTGCAGGAGAGTAGATTTTGAGAGAGTGAGCTCAGGCTTCAATGTCTCCTGAATAAACATGATAAACCAAGCTTGAATAAAATGAAAGATAATTAATCGAATTACGTATCACTGCAATAGGAACATGAGAAAATACATTCACAGACATTCTGCTTCTACTACACTTATCATTATGAAGATTGTGTTGTGGGGTATCACTTTGGGGACAAAAGCGTACATTCCGGAAATACAGAGGATTTGCTTTTTATCATGAGGAACTGGTTTAGGGTTAGGACAAGTGAAATCTATTTCCGGACACTCCAATGTCACTTGAAGTGATTGATTACATCTGAGTCAGTGATATGCACATCCAAAGAAATATGGTGAAGTGGACAGGAAAAACCGAAGCTGCTATAAGGCTATCATACCACTGGCTGCATAGCAGTCCAGGACAGTTTGAATATTAAGTATTTAGCGAGATGAAATCCTCAATGGACACGGTTCCTCTGTGTGTCCACGTGACTTCATCTATTCATGTGTGCTCGTATGAGTTTGCAAGTGTGTTAGTTGTGGATGTGTACACATGTATTTGTGCCTTTTAGTGTGTGTATGCGTGTGAGTAATGCATGTAGACAAGCCAAGTGTAAGAGGCCTGGCAGACATAACGCCCACATTTCCCTGTAGCACTGAGCCGGGGTGTGCGTGCAGCTGACAAAGTTCAAACCAAGACCACGTCACATACAAACACACACAGTGTGGCTCTGTTCACTCACACATGTATGCATGTACACACAACCAGCCACGGAGGGTAATTTATGTCTGCTCTAAAAAGCAGACAAATCAAAATAGAATCAAATAAATAGACAGTATAGGATTTAATAGAATCAAGATGTTACAACATTGCCTGGTCATGTGACATAAGTCAGCCACATCACCAGCATTTGGGTTTAACCAAAACACTTATTATGGCTATTTCCAGCTTTATTATTTATTTTGGGCATTTGCTAAGAAAGGTTTGCTAGCTGTAATGTAAAAAAGTCAAACATGTCTCTGTATGTGAATTCTTTTAAGAACCCCTCTCACTTTCTGTTGAAAACACTCCATTTAAGCTTCTGTTTCTTTAAGACCCGTCTGCAGCAAAGCCCAGTTTGATTTGATTGGTTGAAAATCAGGAAGCATACCATTTCTGCTACAGTGGTCTTGGTTATGTTAAAAATTATCATGGGATATCTCATTTGGTTCAGTGGCAATAATATGCTGCCTTTAAGCCCATAATCCAATAGGCCTATCCATTTGCTGAGCACATGAACCTTTCCAAAGAACTATATTGTCATTTTTCTACCCTCTTGCTCACCGTGATATAGGTTTAGAATCTAAACCCACTACTAAAATACATTCTTTAATAGGTTTTCCCCAAAGCATTTAGTTGATAACCTGGGTGAAGGTTATCAACTCAATGGGAAATTTCATGTGTGACTCTACTAAATTGTTTTTCAGTTGAGTCACACAAGAAATATGAAAAACAACAAGCATAACGAATTTCTTATCATATTGTCAGTGGTTGACATAAAATCAACACCATCTACAGTTTAATTGACTTCCTCTTTGCACTTCTTCTTAGGATACTATTTTGAAACAAATATTTTATGAGTTAATGTGAATGTTCTGTTTTAGAGGTCAGCAGCAAAAGTCCTTTAAAATGTGCCTGCTGGTTTAAATGCATCATAAACTGTAAATTTGCTAACTTATCATGACACCAGAAAATGAGACAGCTCGCTTCGCAGTAGGAAAATAATGAAGGGACTTATTTACCATCATGCTCAGTTGTTCCCGCAGGATATGAATATGAATGAATATAACACAGAACTGACAAGATAGGTCTCTCACTGAGACTGTTGGGCCGGGCCCGGATCTCTTTGGAAGTGAAAGTGGTTTTCTTTCATTTTCAGGATTCCCACTTAATCCTACATTCACTCTAAAATGTACAATCAATATTATAGGGGGTATAAATGTGCAGTGTTGGTCAAACATGTATTTTTATTCTCATAATACATTTGAATATTGATGACAGACAGCACACGTAGGCTGCACATATGCATCTGGATTAGTGCTGATGTAATGGATAACTGCTGCCAGACGGCAAAGCTTATAAGGCAGCATGAATAGTTTTTTTTGTGTGTTTTTATTGACCTTCATTGTTGATATGCATTAGCTTTGATGAGATTATTGTTTTTTTATATAACAACTAATATATGATGGTGCAGAATTATAATTCTTTTGGTTACATATTAACCTTAGGGACTCTGCCTCTATTTGAATATCACATACAAAATTATATTTTTACAGAAGTGGAAGAATATTGCTGCCACATTTTAATAGATACGCCGGTATGTTGTCATATTGGTTCACTATAATCTGAAGAACTCGACCATTTAGGTGTGAAATTCTCTCAAAAATCTAACATGCAACAGAGGTTTAGGGAAAAAATGTATCAATATACAAAATTTACATTTAGTAACTGCCACCCCCTTCAAGTATGCATGTCTTTTGATTGGTTTGAAAACATCTGAAAATCATGTCTGTGTTTTCTCAATATTGGTGATATTTTTGGAGAAAAGACAGGTCACGCTAGAAAATATGCAATAACGAAATCCCATAGTGAGAACTGAAAAAATGTATAGACATATGTACACAAACACACACACACACACACACATATATATATATATATAAAGCGAGTCAGCTTGCAGATGCACCGTATCTCTCAGACTTCTGCTTTGCCCTCATCTAAATTGACTTTGGCAGTGTGACATGCAGGACCCGGGATGCTGCTGTGGACATCCCGACACCCAGCATGCAGGAAATGTGTGCCGGTCTCACTGATGCAATTGACAAGTTGACTGACTCACAGCAGCTTTGATCATTTTCACCTGTACCAACATAATTATTCCCAGCGAGGAAACCCGGGGCGACGCTTTCAGTCAATAGCGTTCATGCTGCCAAG